TCTCTCACGCCCTTGCTTCCCCCTTGTTCTTGTAGTTATCCCAAAAACTGTAAGGTTTATTGAGAAAGTTTAATGGCATTTTTATAAAGCTTTGAGGTGTTTTGTACCAGATCGTTGGGTCATGAGCTCAATTCTACATCATCGCCCACTTTAGTAGATTACAAATGAAAAGTGGTTGAGGTGTGAAGGAACGTGTGTGTGGACAATATGCATGCTACCAACACATCTCGTCTGTCATAAGAATTTTTTTTTTTTCTACATCTCGCAAAATTTGAGACTCTACAATATATAAAGTAAACCAACCATGAGAAATGTATAGATTTCATAATTTGATAAGCAAGCAACATCCAATATGTGGGTATTTAATGGTCAGTGTGGATGATCACCTGAGAAATAATAAACCTACAAATGTAGCTTTCCACATCATCTGTCATAATGGAAGTGAAAGCTTATTTTCTGTACAGGCCTCTATGGGTCTATTGTATTGATTGAAAGCTAACACCAATAGACTGAATACATTTAGCCTTGTTTAAAGGAGAACTATGGGGTTAGGGCTTTTCCCCATAGTTCTCCTTAGGGTAGCGGGAGGACACAAACTAGCGTCCTCCCGTCACCCTAAGCTCAGTATACCGCGAGCTACAGCTCGTGGTATACTGAGACGCTGAAGCGGATCCCGACAATTATGCCGGGATCCGCCCAGATGAGTGAGTGACAGCTGGCTCTGCCTATCTAGATGCAGACCCGGCCGTACCTGCCCCCTCCCCCGTCCAATCCGCCAATCAGCGGTGGCGGATCGGAGGTGGGAATCCAGCCCCTCTCCTGTCAAGGCAGAGAGCCGTGACAGGATCGAGAGGTGAGCGAACGCCGGTATGTGTTCGCTCACCTCCCGATCTACTAAGCCGACCTGTGACAGTCTCATTTTCACAGGTCGGCTAGAACTATGAGGTGAGTGAAAAGCACTCACCTCATAGTTCTCCTTTAATCTCCTGAGGTCTCCTGACCTTCCAATTTAGTGTAGCAAATATTGTAGCAAAAGCATTGTAGCAAATATTGATTTTTGGGGGGGATTCATATCTTTTACTTGGAATGTTTCAAATGTATGTAAATGGAATGTGGTTTTTGATGTTACACGGTATGTTTATATTTATTGTATCTATTATTTGGCTGTGTGAATCAGCTGTGTTGTGATTCAACATTTTGTAGATGTGTCTGCTGATTTGATATTGTTGATATTTATTTAATGCGCAGCTGATGTAGGATAGGTCCTATGACTAAGCCTTTTGGTGCAAAATGCATCAAGGTGTTCTAACACGGTTGTCAATGTGTGTTATACTTTCTTAACAAACCTCTTGGTTTTTGGATTTGCCGCATGGACCTATGACTGAGAAATTGCACGCTGACTTCAGCCAGGTTGTGGTGTTGGTGGCTTTCTAAGGCTGGCCACACACCTGTCAATCTCTTCCGTTCAACCCGCGAGCTGAACGGAAGAAAGTGACTCGATTCCTCTATCAAAACAAACAGCGTGTAGCCGACAGCTGTCAGAATACCCGATCAGAGCGGACAGCTCATTGGCTGCCGCCTCGGATCACACAAAGATTTTCCAGCAGGCTCCTTTGATCAGCTGATCGAGGAATGCCGGCTGAAAGGGAGCCGACAGCCCCACACAGTGTGCGAATTTCAGCCCGTACATTAAAAACTGGTGGAAATTCGGCCAGTGTATGGGCACCTTTAAAGGAGGTTGAAGGCTGGGTACCCCGGACGCAGCAGCAGGTTATCTATTGGTAGCTGGCTAACACTGCATGGACATTTTCAGCACATTGAATCTATTCTGATGAGACTACTGGGGATGTTATTTGAGGCACTGACTAGTATATGCAGCTATCTTTTGCCAACTAAAGGCCCCAATGAAGAAGGAAATGGTTGTGCTTGAGACCAAATGGAGCTGACATTAACCCTTGTAATTCCTAATGAGTGCTTATTGGTTATATATAT